TCATCATCATCATCATCATTATCGTTTATTTATAAAGCACAATAAAAACCAAAGTGCTGTACAGGAGCATAAAATAGAAACAATGAACAAAGTACAGTAATAAAATGAACAATAAAATGAAACAAAACAGCAAAGGCTGGCCTAATGATCACGCTCTTCAGACTCAAATGCCTGTTTAAACAGATGAGTTTTTAACAGGGACTTAAACTCATTCAGAGACCCAGCAGACCTCACAGACAGTGGGAGATTGTTCCAGAGCCGAGATCCTGCAACTGACAAGGCTCTATCTCCCCTGGTCACGAACCGAGACCTGGGAACAGCTAAGAGCTTTTGTTTTACAGATCTCAGGGATCTATTTGGAATGTGAGGCTGTAAAAGCTCAGTGAGATAACGAGGTGCCAAACCAATTAGACATTTAAAACTAAAAACAAATTTTTAAAAACAATTCTAAAAGAAGCAGGCAACCAGTGAAGACAATACAAAATCGGGGGTGATATGTTCACGTCGTCTTGTCCCTGTTAATAAACGGGCGACTGAATTCTGAACCAGCTGTAGACAACGAACCAAAGACTGTTCAGCCAATCTGCAATTAATTCACTACGGTTAATATAATCCACCCCACCATGGTCTGCGTAAATTCTAAAACTGAGACAGCGGGAGGGTTAAAACATGAAAAGACTTTTGCTGACAGTGAAGCAGGTTATTTATCTCTTAAATTTGATGCTTTTACTAAACAGGATTAAAACTATTGGATAAATATCAGCAAAACTCAATTAAGCTATAAAAAATAACACCCGTTTTATAAAGTCATTTTTGATCAGTATTTATTCACATTTTGTGATGGTTTTTAAAAGCTTTACTTTGTAATGATTTCACCCAGTGTTTTGGCAATGACAGCAAATAAAGAAAGTGGACAAAGTGAAAGACAAAACTAAAAATCTTGTGTCTAATCAAAACCTTCCTGCAACAGATGAGCCATATCTGAAAGACATGCCTTTAAAAATGAAATTTACACCAAATGCACATCGCCTGTGGCCTTGTGTGAGGGAGATCTACGCTTAGGTTTTCTGCTGAGAAGAATTTTTTTTTTTGATCAAACTATGTAAAGACCAGTGGTAGACAAAAATCTCAACTCTAGTACTAGGGTCAAACTAATGATACTCATGGTCAAATCTACTCAACTATAAGTAAAAGTTACTCGGATCTACTCATGTTAAAGTACTGAAGTACTAACTTTTGAAAATACTTAAGTATTCAAAAGTATAGATTAAAATGTCTAATATCAGTACATTGCTGTATTGTTTTCAGAGTGATTTTACAGAACCTCAGTTTCAAACCGCGCAGTTAAATAAACTATTTACAATTTCAAACCACGCAATAAAAAAACTATTTACAGTTTCAAACCACGTAGTAAAAAAAACTATTTACAGTTTCAAACCGTGCAGTAAAAAACTATTTACAGTTTCAAACCACGTAATAAAAAAACTATTTACAGTTTCAAACCACGTAGTAAAAAAAACTATTGACAGTTTCAAACCGTGCAGTAAAAAACTATTTACAGTTTCAAACCACGCAATAAAAAAACTATTTACAGTTTCAAACCACGTAGTAAAAAAATTATTTACAGTTTCAAACCACGCAGTAAAAAAACTATTTACAGTTTCAAACCACGCAGTAAAAAAACTATTTACAGTTTCAAACCACGCAGTAAAAAAATACTATTTACAGTTTCAAACCACGCAGTAAAAAAAACTATTTACAGTTTCAAACCACGCAATAAAAAAACCATTCACAGTTTCAAACCATGCAGTAAAAAAAACTATTTACAGTTTCAAACCGCGCAGTAAAGAAACTATTTACAGTTTCAAACAATGCAGTGAAAAAACTATTTACAAAATAAACGGAAAAAAAAACGGGTCTGATTCTGGAACAGAAGGCAATGACTCCTCAATTCATCGATGGTGGTCGAATGATCTAAAAATAAATTAAAATAAAATAAATAAATAACTTTCCTAATTAAAAGAAATGCGTGCGTGTCAGTGAAACCTTGAAAACTAAAAAATACTCACTTACAGTTCCAGTTCTTCTTGACAGATACCCACGTGGACCCATGTGATCGCGTTTTTACTTCATTTTTTCCGGTTGTTCATCAGCATGTTCAACCGGTGATCCGCCCCTCTTAGACATGATTCTTTTCTGAAAAAAAATAGAAAGACAGACAAAAATAATAATAATTAAAAATCAGTTTGCAACATGTGAAGTAAAAATAAATTATAACTCTAAATAAAACTTTTTTTACTAACCTGTTAGTTTAGTTTGTGCAAAAAAAAAAAGGAAAACTCCGCTTCTAATTGCTGCACAAGGCTGCTGGAACACACACACAGATAGAGTACATTTAAATATATATATTTATAAAAATTACATCAAACAGAATTAAACAAAATAAAAACACATTAACAAACCTTTAAGTTTGGCATTGCGTAATGCTGCTGGTGGAACTTAGACATGGTTCCTGTCACCGTTCTGTTGCTGCGCAAAACTGCTGGAACGCACAGAGAGTACATTTAAATATATATATATATATATACACATTAAACATTTAAACATAATAAAACAAATAAAACACATTTACAAACCTTTAAAATTTACGTTGGGATGCTGGCGGTGGTGCCGCGTAACGCTGGTGGAACATGGAGACGGTTCTTCTCGCTGTTGACAGACATATTGAGTACAATTTTAAAAACTCTATAAATACATTAAACTGAATAAAACTTAATAAATAAATACGAACCTTTAAAATTTACTTCAGCTGCCACAGCGGTCGTGCTGGCGGTCTTGTCGCTCCCTGATGAAAGTAGTGACGGGTCTGGAACGCAGCAGGTGTCCTCGCCGACGGTGGTATGGAATGAATGAGACGCATTCTTTTAAACGCATCGAGAACCGAGGAGGGGCGGGATTTAATGCTGTAAACACGAACTGATTGGTTGAGGGGTGGGTCTAAAGTCTAACCCTAACCTCTGATTGGTCGATGGTCATTTTGATGACATGTTTCACGGCCTGTCAGCTTCAGCGAGGCAGGAAGTCATGAACTGTGGACATCTGTTCAAAAACAGGATGTTGTGGTCAAGAGAATAGACTTCATGTCAGGTCAAACTCTTTCTGTAATAGAACATCTGTTCAAAACAGGATGTTGTGGTCAAAAGAATAGGCTTTATGTTAKGTCAAACTCTTTCAACAATAGAACACCTGTTCAAAAACAGGATGTTTACGATCATGGCTTACAGTAATTCGAGGGGGGAAAGAGGGAGGGTAGGGTTACGGTAAATCGAGGGGGAAAAGGTGGGTAGGGGTTATTGGAAGACTGGGGGAAAGAGGGAGGGGGACAGTTACAGTAAATCGAAAGAGGAAGTCACGAAACGGAAGTTGACCATATATGGTGGTCCCACCKGAAGGACAGACCGGAAGTTGACCATATACGGATGCCCCGCCCTAAAGGGGCGTGGCACCTGCCACTTTTGTGTGACATCATTTCTTAATTAGTTGAAGAATACCCATGCATATTTTCCCTTCCCAGGACAGAGAGTTTTAACCATGTTGGATTTTACGCCTAAATCCTAATTAGAGGTTTTCCAGTTGGATTATAACAATCTTTTCTTTGGCACCATTCGATTTCTAGATTGTTTCATCCAATGGGTCCCTTCATTCACACTCTCATTCACAAACACACCTGGAATTCTTAGACTTTTCAGTTTCAACAACCTGGGGACTCTAACCCGTTCTCTTTGAGAATTTAGTCTATAATCTTATAGACAGGGCCTGTAACCCGAGAATTTAGTCTATATTCCTATAGACAGGGCCTCTAACCCGTACTTGGGGACTCTTACCTAATTTCCCTCTGGGATAAATAAAGTATTTTTGAATTGAATTAACCCTTTAAAACTCAGAAAACGTCGTCCTAGTTTTCTAATCTAAAAAAAAATCTCCGGTCGGGCAGCAATGCATTATGGGATATACTGGGCCGGGAAGGATCCATCGGACCAGTCCTTCAATTCGGGCCAAAGGAAGGACGCATTTGTCGGCCGCATTGGAGTAGGAAGTTTTGGACAGACTTCGTTGCGGTGCTGTGACGTATGCAGCCAACGAATTCGGCCTTCCGAGGACCCGGCACGCAGTTTTGGACACAGCCACAGAGTGCTGTAAGCTGCTCACTGCTAATGTGAAATTGCTCAATTTGAAGGAAAAAAAGACTTGTTTAATTAGTCCACACAACTTCAAATAAATTAAATGAAAGATATTCTATTTCAGTAAGTTTTAGTTAGTTTTGTAAAAAAAAATACAGTTCCAGTTATTGTATTTTTTTTTTCATTTTATTACAATTTTTTACTTTAACTAAAATGTTTTTTTTTATTTCAGTTTTCGTTATTTCGCTAGTTTTAGTTAACTATAATAAACCTCGTTCTGGATCAGACTTTGGCTCCAGCATATATGGCTGGATGGACAAGTCTTCTGCTGTTGACATATTTTAAATAAATTGTAAATAAAACATTTTTTACACCACTAGAAAATGCTAATGCACTCTCTCAAGCCTGAGTCAGAGTGGACTGGTCTGGAAGCCGGATATTTTAGTTTTTTTTATTTTTTTATTTTGTGGGGAGGGCTTAAAGTGTTTTAAAGAAACAGTGTTGAAACCAGCTGCTTTGAGACACACATCAGAAAAGGGTGAAAGAGGCACTGATAAAGTTAAAATAAGGAGGAATTCAGATCAAAGCATTGTAGTTCCACTTTATAATGACGCCAAGTGAATGATTTTAATGTGAAAAAAGAAGAATTTGTCTAGTAAGTCTACTTTGATTGAATCACTTCTTAAGAAAAATGAATTATTGTATCAATGAATTATAAGGGTACCAAGAAATCTGTCTGTGTCTGTATTTCAGGTATCACAGGTAATGAAATAAAAGAAAGGAGACCATTTCAGATGTGTTTTTTAAATAATAATTGGCAATTTATTGTGCTTACATAAACTATAATGACAATATGAAAAGTGTGAAGTGAAGTTTGGTGATGACATGCTGCAGCTCTTAATGGTCACATCTTGAAATTTGTTCGTGATTGGATCCGTGAGCATTTAGGACAGTTTTTTTCTGTAAAACAGTGTTTGTGAAAACACGCTCTGCACACTGTGAACAAAGGCCAGAGACATTCAAAGATTGTACATTAGCTTTAGTTCTTCATTGCAAAGCTGTCACTGAGATAAAAAAACAACTTTATATGTGACAGTTACAATTTATTTATATTTTATTTAATTTATGCAACATTTATCCCTCCATACCTGGACAGCGCTTACATATGTCCTTCTGAAAAGGAAAGATGATATCCTTTCCACGGCAAAACTCACAGATAAAACCTCGAGCCAGACACAGCTGTGTGAGAAAAGTTAAAAACCTTATCAGAAGATGGGTTTTTACACAAAGGCATCCCTCAAACTGATGATGTTCCCCTTTGGATTTCTGTACATTTACTAAGTTTTTAGACTTAAGAGATGAGCACAGTTTATAAAATTCTGCAACTGGGGATGTCCGTCCTACTATCTATCTATCTATCTATCTATCTATCTATCTATCTATCTATCTATCTATCTATCTATCTATCTATCTATCTATCTATCTATCTATC